GAGCTATTAAGGGTACCTATTGTTACAACATCCTCTTAAAGTTGAGGCAATTGCACCTCAGAAATTATCTTTAGGCTAAAAAACTGATAAACAGCAGAGCTGGGACTTAAACACAGATCTTTTGTTTCAAATTTCTTACCATTCCCATTATCTATGTTGAAGCCCTTCAGTGCTACCAGTGAGGACAAGTAAAAAAATCAACATTCATTGCATATAATTTTAATATGTTCCAGGTATTGTATAATTTTCCATCATACATCTAATCCAATTCACTATCATTCTTTCAATTCTGTAAGGTAAATACTACAAGATGAGGACACTAGGACTTTGAGAGGCAGAACAGCTTTCCCAAACTCACTGTCCAGATTTCAGTCCCAATTGTTTGAGCACAAATTCCACATTTTTTTCCTGCTAGATCATAATGGATTTTTGTCAAGGTGATTAGAAATATCTTTAGCTCTCAAACCCCACATTTTGTCTTACAAAGGTGATGAACACTTTGTGCTTCATGAAGGACCAGCCAAGATTCTGATAGCTGCTAACTGAGAATGGATTTGATGTTATATAAAAGGATGAACCTGATATCCATTCTCTTCTCTGAAGCAGGAAGAATTCTCTTGTCTTTTGCCTCCTAACCTGATTAAGCCTGGATTTAAGGGAAGATTTCTCAAGAGCTTTAAAAGAGTGTAGCTTTTACTAGCTAGCTAGAACTGGGTTTGAATGAGGCTCCACTTTGCACTAGCAAAATAGAGTTGAACAAGTTATTTAATGTCTCTGAAACTCAACTTTATGTTCTGTAAAATTGAGAAATTATATCATAACACTGCAGTAAGGGATAAATAACATGCCACCCATAAAGTCCTTACGATCTCCTGTCCATCATCCATGAGATCAGGTTTAGGGCAGGCAACTCTTAATCTCACTAAGCCATTTCAACAACCTCAGCTTCCTGTTAGCCAATAAGGTGACTGAGCAAGTTTAAGAAGTTTACCATGAACATAATCAAACCTCTGACACAGATTGATGGTCCTATTAATTTTGATTCAGCATTTATACTCTAGTGTTCCAACAGCCAGTGTTACTACATGTCCAGGTTTTCTTGAGACAATCCTATACTTTTCAATAGAGCCTTCTTTTACTCTCAAAAGTTTCCCAATTTGGATAATAAACTATATGGTTACACTACTTAAAAGGTATTTTTCATTTTTTTAATTCTGTACTCACTAGTTCCAATGTCTTTCACTCCCTAGAGACAAACAGAAGAGAATTTATGAACCGGATAAAATTACGTGTTCACTTGAGTTTTTAAAATACCAACGTTAAGCCAGATTTGAATGATAATTCTAAACATTTTGTATAATGAAAATGAAGTTGCTATTAAAAATAAACAGTCATTTGAAAAAGAAATGTTTAGGGTCCCAAATTTTGATCACTGTCTCTCCATACACTCTGGTGTCCAAACAGCTAAGGGCAACCATGAATTCTGAAAGCATAGACCATAGAGTCCTGTGTGGCCAGTCACAATGAGTCCTAGAGTCTTCAGGTGAACAGATGGCTAAGGTGTCATTTTGTATCTATTCTGCCTACATCAGAAAGAGGAAGAAAGAGACAAAGTATTCTTTTTATGTCTTTCTTTCATGAATATGCATAAATATAGCATTCATGAATCACTGAGATGTAGGAGACTGTTAAATTGCATTTTCGCTAGAGTTTAAAAGAAACATATGATTAACCTTACTTTTGACGCTGAGTAATTACACTTCCTTATTTAGAGGTCATTTTTGAATCTGTTCCACTGCTAGCTTGTGGGCTGGAGTGAAATAAAGGTACAAAGATATACCAATAATTAATTATTAAAGTTCCTTTTATTCTTTTGTGGCTCAAAAACTTTCTAGTCAAGGTAGGTGCCAAAGGCTTGCTTCAGATTATCATGAGTAAATCATATAGATTATTTGGCAAAATAATATTAATAAAATACTAATGATTTAAAAAATTATAGTGAATAATAGTAATAATAATAATAATATACTTTCTCATTCTTACTCTGCTTTGTTACCTTTCTATTGCTATCTTGATGCACATTTGAAAGCATGAATTTTTCCTAGAATCCAGGGAAGTCATATTTCCTTCTTTGAAATACTGCATAAGCATCTTCAGGTTTACATTGATATTTTTCCTGGTTATGGGACAAGGATAGCAAATATATTACAGTGCATACAAGTACTCCCATCTCATACCTGTGCATATTAATAATCTGGTGTTTTTCCCATATATATCTCACAGTCATTTTCATCCCAAGCATTCAAGACAGGCATTTCCAAGTAAGCAGCACCAGAATACAGATGAAGGCTGTGTACCTTCCCTAGTATAGATTTCCTGAGGCACAGGCAGAATGTGACCTTGGAGTTCTCACTAACCTTTAAAAATTGCTGTACAAAATTACGTGACTATTTAGCTTACTTTTTATTCTACAGTTGAGGGGCTCCATTCTCCTTCCCTTTAAATCACTTGTGGAGGTATAATGGCACGATCCAGTCAGGTTATGCTGTGGTAAGAGTCGTAAAATCTCAGTGACTCCAACAACAGAGTTTATTTCTGGCCCACGTGACTTGCTGACCATAAGTCAACGGCAACTCTGCTCCTACTCTGTGTGTCTTCATTTAAGGAACATGTTCAAGGAGTATCTCTTACCTGGCTTATGACCTTCTCATGGCAGAAGGTCTGAGACAGAACTGTTAGCAGTTCTTGGGGCCTTTGTTCAAATATGGGTGTACATGTACCCCACTTTTGCTATTTTATTGTCACATAGCCACCAATAACAATGGGAGGGAGGCCGTGCGCATCATTTAGAAATTGGTAGAGATGAATAATCCTCTCACAGGGAGGGAAGAGAATACTTGCGAAAAAACTAGAATCTCCCTCAGGCATATATTTCTTTGTTTGTTGTCTGTTTTTTAGAAAGCTGTTGCTCCATGCAACATATTAGGACAGGAAGAGACAGGATTACCTTCTGTTTAAGTGCAGCAACTGAAGATTTCAAGTTTCCTGCTGACTCTGGGAGACACTTAAACTCCTGGAAAGACTTATCCATGGCTTTTGCCTGGGAGAGCTGGTAGATAAATTGGCCAGTGCATGAACCCAAGATATGCTTGATTTTTTTCCCTCAATGTTTTTATGCTGCTTTGCATCTGGACTCTATGAGCTAGATCAGAGAAAGCTCACAGAGCATTTTTGCAGAATAATGTCCTAAATGCCCACGTAATTTTAATTACAGACCCAGCTTAAATGGATAATTTAAAATATGCTCCAATCATACAGAAGGAGAGTAAATTATCTTCTATTATTTACTGAGAGAACTAGAAAGATAAATAAATGGTGACTAGGCCTTTTGCTATCACTTGGAGAAACAGAAGAATGTAAAAATGGTAAAATCATGAGCCTGGGTGAGCGTGAGGTTTTTTGTTGTTTTTACATTTTCTTAACAGAGGGAAGTTTGAAACAAGCAAAGGCAAAGAATTTTACTGGGAACACTGCCTTTCTAGTGTAAAGGAGGGTGAAGGCTTTAATCAATAATTTTTAGCATTTGAGAACTGGCAGCGGTGGCTGAAAGAAAGAAAGCATCACAGAGCCGAGTGAAAGTTTGGGGAACTTGTCCCAGCAGGTTGACATGAGATGACTTGGAAATGATACACGGTTGGTGTCCTTTGTCCTGACTATAGGTGATAGATGACTTTGATACAAAACAGGCATACTGATCAGAAACAAAATGAAACAAAGCAAAAAACCAAAACCAACCTTCCAATCTGTCATTTCAAAGTAAATAAGTACTTATGCTTGGAGGGGAAAAGATGAAGGGCAAAGACACTCTGTGTTTGTTAAATACCAGCACCCTTGCTGCTCAAAGCTTCGGTATTACCTGGGAGCTGTAAGAAATGCAGCCTGAGACCCCAGCTTAGACCTACTAGTCAGAATCTACTATTTAGCAAGATGCCCAGGTGATTTGCATGAACTTTTACAGTTTGAGAAGCACTGTTCTGGGATGACCACCTCCTTGCCAGGGAATGTGTGTACATCATACATGACGCACATAGTCCATAGTCACTGCCACACAATCGTAACTTTCATTTCCATAATTTAAGAATTAGCAAATTTGGTATCGGGTCTCATAAAATTTGGCAAGATCATGGTAACCAGTGAAACTTCACGAGTTTTTATTTCCCCTACTCTGCCATCTTCTTTGACTTGTTATTTATTTATTTATTTATTTATTTATTTTGCTCCGAAAACAGAAAAACACAAGCTCTGTTTCTTTAACACCTCAATTTTCTACAATTCAAAACCTAGCGCCCTCTCTACTCAGATTTTTTCTGTCTCCTTCTCCTCTCTTAGTGCTCACAAGTACAAAGATGCACTCCAGGCACTGAAAAGAAAAAAAAACTAACAGATTTGATCACAATTTTCTTTTGTAGTTCAAAGAAATAAGGAAACGTTTATGAATAACTATCTTTTATCAATTCTGGAAACCAATAATTTTCATAAAATTGTCAAGGCCACAAATAATATGAGGATACGGTAAGACTATTCATCGCTATGTCCCACGAGGATAAAACTGGAACTCGCGGCTCATTTAATCATTGACTCAGAGCTAGAAACGGATTTAGAGATAATCTTATTCCACACCCTGAGACCTTAAGGTGACTTTCCAAGCTCTCCTACTGAAGAGCTGTGGTTAAAATCCAGGTCTTCCGATTCCCAGTCTGGGGTTCATCCATTTCTACTACATATCACATTACCTCTACGGATGAGCGAAGAGTATCTGCCAATTAGAAACCAGCAGGGAATCGTATACATTTTTAAGGGTATTTTCAGGTGAAGAACCAGTACTGAGATCCTCTCCACGCACCAGCCAACAGCCCATTTATTGAGAGGTAACCAGGTAGGATAAAATGGTAGTAAATGAAACATTCCCTGATGGTTTCTGGGAGGAAGCCATGCTTCCACGGCTTTGAGCCTTTGTATGAATTTTATCCAGAAGCAGGGTTGGATCAGACTCCCACTGAGATGCTATCTGACTTAATCCTTGGCTTGGGGTTACTAGAGGAGGCATATTCAAAAGAAAAGAAAAGAAACTTACAAGAAACAGCTGGAGTCTGTGTCCTTGTGCAGGCTTCCATGTATACATACATAATAGTTTAAGCCTAAGACTTTTATGATTCATGTATTTCTTGTATGCAGGCTTCATCTCAGCTCTTAGTGGTTTTCGGTAATAAGCTATTTGCTTAGCAGGGAAAATAAGTGTTTCTCCCTATGATTGCCAACATTGTACTGGTCTCTGTGCAGAGCATATTTCCTCTTCAAGAACTCAGGCCCTCTAAATAGGACAGAGCAACAAGTATTGGCATGCAGACAGGAACATGCCGAGAGTGCCAGCTGACTATTCAGTTTCTTCACCAGGTACACAGAGAGACAGAAAAAAGAAACAGCACACAGGCTTGAGGGAAGCTTACAATGGAAAACAAATATGAAGGACGCAGTGGAAGTTGAACGTATTGAAAAGGAGAGAATACTATTGGGGGTGGCGAGGGAGCAGATCAGCTGGAGAAAATGATGTTCTTGGAAACACTTTGGGTGTTGTCAAAGAATGGCTATGAGGGATGGAGAGAAAGTGGCTTAGGAAGTATCAGGAGAGTGGACCCCAGAGAGAAAACAGTAAAGGACAAGGTTAGAGGGACCAGGAGCAAACCTGAAGCTCCCCTCTTGCCAGTGGAGAGCTCTCCCTTCAAATACCTGCAATCCAGCCATAAGCTACCCTCCAGTTTTGCCTGCAGGAAGGAACTCCACATTGTCTTGCCTAAGACTCATCAGTTGACTGCACACTATGACTGATCCCAGATGGAGCAAGAGATGTCTACATCCCTTCTGGACTCTTTTCACCCCACGTGAGTATCGCATCACCATACTGACAGGCCATCTGGTAAGGTCATAGGAGGCCATGGACTTGGCCTCTTACATTTGATGTGGTGGGTGCAGAATGCAGTCATGACACCCCCCGAGCTGAGGAGATGTTCAGTGATGCCCCCTTGTTAATACCCTAAATCTATGGTTTAGCCCTCATCTCTTTCTTTTTAATCAGATTTAAAAACTTAAATGTAAGATAATCAATCTACTATCACTTAAAATCTCTTTAATTGACACGGATGCAGAAGTAGAGAACACAGCAAAGTATGCAATCAAAGGATTAAACATTAGGAGTCTAGGAAAGGCTTTCTGATTCCTTGAGGACAGTTTGAGACTAAAGTAAAGAAAAGGAAGAGATGTTTTACTTTTATTTAGAGAAATGCAGACAAACCACCATTATTTTCTTTGCTTTTTGTTCTTTTCCCCCCTTTGGCCCCTATTTCCATCATATTCCCAAACTAACTGCTTGGGATAAAATTTATTAGGTAGTGCAGAATTTGGCACACTTTTAAAAGTGTATTTTTTATTTAGATTCTGCACTGAATGTTGTAGCTGAGTATTAGAAAAATGATTTGAGGGAAGATTGTTCTAAAAATAATATTTCCAGGAAAAGTCAGAAATGATACTGGCATTGATAAGCATTTGCTATTATCTATATTTTACTGTAATCACCTGTGATTTTTTTTTGAACAGTTACTTATGTTCTCTAGTAATGACTGTTTATATGTAGCTGCTTTTCGGCTTTCTTGATACTCAGAATAAAATTCAGGTAAACTGTGCAATTGCTCTACTATCACTTGATTTTCTCATAATAGAGACATGTAGGAATTCAGTTTTCTGTGTTATTCATTCTAGATTTCATGTTGTAATTGATTTCTGTCATTGTTCACTCACAATAAAGTGTATCAGTGTATGCAATGTATGTAAGTAAGTTCAAAGACTCACGAAATGATAGCATTTCCATCCCACCCATTCAATCACACGTGTATCAAGAGGAGAGGTGCCTTTGCTTATTGTCAGTTAGGTTATTGATTTCTTGATTATTTTAGGGAAGTTATTTTATTAACCTGTTTATGAAGTGAGCAGGCTAGAGTCCTCTTCAAGCTTCCTTGACAGGAAATATGTACTCCACATCTGAGATCAAAGTCTTCCCAGTGAAGAATCATTTCTGCCAAATGTGTATCCGTTCCACCACTGATTCTCCTCTTTTACCCCTGAATGACTGTCTAGGGACCCAGGGAGAAAACCTGGGAGAACAGGAACAGGGCTAGGCTTCCAGGAGACCCCGAGGACTTAAGAAGTCATTCCTACATTCCAG